AAGACGACTACTGACACACATTGTATATTCCATGCATGTGACATCCTAGCTTCTGTGACAGAAGATGGAGCAATGGGTGCCTGTAGGCCTTGAGGAGGGCCTGGGAGGGGGGCAGGAGGGACCACACTGGGTGATGGAAGCACTCCATGTCTTGCCTGGAGTGGAGGTTTCACAGGTGTGTGTATTTATCCAAACTCATCCAGCTGAACTCTTAAGATCCGTGTCTTTTATTTTATGTAAATTATACTCAATTAAAAAAGAAAGATGTTAGGGAGTGAGAAAATCTACACAGGAGCCCGGGATGCCCTGGGGAGAGGAGAGATGGGCATCTTCTTCTTTTTGAAGTTTCAGCTTGAGTAGACATTTCTAACACATTGTCTCAATTAAGAGCAGCGGCAGCTGAAGAGGTCAGAGGCCTCTGGAGAGGTTTGGTCATAAGGAAAGGGGGTGTCTGCCCTGGTGATCCTGGCACAACTCCAGACTTGGATGGGAGGAAGAGCCGATTTGGGGCAGGGCACAAAGGCTTGATCTCTGGGCATAGAGTACAATGATCTCTGCCTCGCTGGATGTGCTGAGCTTCCTCCCGGGGCTCTGCTGGGGCACCTCAGAACCAGGAGAAGCAGTAGGGCTCATTGGGAGACCCTACAGAAGAACAGGCTCCCAGAGCCCTTCGAGGTTGACTCTCAGATGGATAGGATAAGGGTTGACTCCCTGACAAAAGTAATGCTTTGTGCAATCTATGAGTTAATCGGATAGTTTTCTTCTAGTAATAGCCTTGACAAATTCACCCCTGCTTCCCAAATGGATTCTTGCCTACCACACTTATTTATTATTTCTTGAATTAAGATTGAAATGGATTCAGCATCTATCATATGCTGGGCTCTCTGCTGAGCACTGAGACCCTGCAGTGAGGATAATAGATAAATCTTCGCACTCATGATGGGAAACGAGCAAAGCACCCAAGTCTCAGGGGGAAACTAGGGCCATGGCAGAAAATGAAGCTAAAGGTACAAGAAGAGGAGCATGGACCACAGTGTGGGTGCGGGGACTACTGTACAAAGTGGGGCACGGAGAGCTTCTCCTAAGACGGTGGGTGTGGAGCAGTCACTGCAGGGCAGTGAATGCGCCAGGCTGGGGTGATGGGTACATGCTGTTTGAAGCGCCTGGTGGGACGGAGCAGGATGTGGAAGGCGTGGCACACTTGGGCCATGGGACTGATGCTGAGTGTGGTGGGAGCCCGAGAAGTTTCTGACTGAGGAGGGAGTCGAGCCCACACTGTAAGGTGTGCTCTGCCGGCTGTTTGAACAGCAGACCATAGGGAGGAGGGCTCTCCTCACTTTGTGGGATTTCAGCTTCCATCTGCCTGTCAGCAGCAAGCTGTTCCCCCAAAAGCCACAGACCCATGAGGGCAGGCTATTGTCCCTGGCCCTTTGTGCAAGTCCCTACTGTGTCCATAACCACAGCTGGGCACTCTGCATGGATAGGACCTGCCCCCACAGCCCAGAATTTCCATCACTTCTAAAGCAGATGGCAGCTTCTGCGCAGCATTTCTTGGTCCAATCCATGCACTGCTGGCCACATTGTGAGGTGGCACTTCGTGAGGCAGAACAGCAACCAGGACCTCAGCCCAGGACAACTCTTGCCATGGTGGGAACTACCAGACTGCCCCACGATGTCCCCAGACCCCGACACCAGGGTGCCTTGTGGGGCCACCTGGGGTACACCCAGTGACAGTCCGGGCCTACTGCAGAGGAATGAGCAGAGCCCTAACTACCAGCATGTTCTGGTTAAGAAAACTCAAAACACTCATTCCTACTAGTTTTCTGGATTTAGAATGAGCATGAAATTTCACCAAGAACCCATTTGATTCCTTGCCAGGAGAAAACCTGGCAGGAACGGGCACTCCAGGGCATTGGCTGACAGCATAATGAACAAAGGTGCTCTTTTAGTTAGGCCCAGGTACCTGGGGCCAGGTGACCAGCCCAACCTCCAGCCCATAGAAAGATGCCTCTCTTCCCTGCCCCACCACCATTTCCTGTTAGTGATAACCCCTTGTAAGAAGCTGCACTTCACTTTATTGCTCTTGGGCACAGAAACTATAAAGAAGCTAAACCAAGGTCATCAAAATGCTTTTTAAAAAATTGGAATACTTGTGCTTTACCATTTTTTGCCCCAGAAACACTCAGAATTAAGAATTGGTTTGAACCCATCAGCCAGCTCAGTCTAGTGAGAACAATTCACAAAGCACTTCACCCCAAAGTGTGTCTCTCACTTGCCGCTTTAGGAAATCAGACTTGAGTCAAAGCTTACTGCAAAAAAGCTTTCCCAAAAGTATAAATATTGTAATATGTTAAGCCCATCCTTAAGACATTGATATAGCCTGTGACACTATGCCCATCTTTCTATAAACTATGCCTTCTATGTTTGTTTTTATTAAAGATATTTAAACTTAGGTTTAAAGACATTCTGACATTTCTTAAGACACTGGAGAATTCCTGGGGCATTGGAAACCAATGTTAGCCACTACTGTTAAAATTTGTGATTACTGTTAGTGATTGAATTTTAAAACCAAAACAAACAAGAAGAGAATAAACACTCCTTTCATTCAATTATTTGCCTGTTTAGTGACCATTTATTAAGCACCTAATATTTGACAAGTTCCCCCAACCTGCACAATCTGTTAGAAAGTGGCCCAGACTGGGAATGAACCCTACCTAGCCCTCAACCAGCAATAGGACCCTGACCCTGAGGACCACCTCCTTGGGATTCTAAAATGTTATAGAATAAACTGGGCAGTAGCCAGGCCTCTCCCATCAGCCAGCTCGGTCCAGTCAGAACAAGTCACAAAGCACTTCACCCCAAAGTGTGTCTCTCATTTCTTAAGATGTCAGAAGCAGTCTAGCAATTTTAGTTAAAAAATAAAAAAGGATTTAGAAAATCACAAACATAGAGTTTTCTTGAGGAACAATAATAAAAGCAAAGGACATTGGTGGCTCAGTCAGCTGGGTTTTTTTTTATTTGAAAAGAACACATTCTTTCATATAACTTACCCTTCTCTCTTTTAGGTTATTGTTTCTAAGGTTGATATGTTAAATATTGGTTTGACCTGAGGAAATATTTGAAAGCAAACCTGCACACTTTCTCAGCATGCTCTCTAGTCTATATGGAGCTCTAGTATATAATACGTGGAGCTCTCTAGTATTGCTTGAACACCAGAATAGGTTTTGACGCCTCTAATGCAAGCATGGGGTCATGGAGAAATGCCCCTCTGGAACAAGAACCGTTTCTATTGGATAAATATTTTGATCAGCTGTTTGGGACCTTGATGGGGAAAGGGGCGAATATTCAAGAGGGAAACAGAAGATGTTGCAAACTCAAGTCTTCATGAACAAACAGGAGCCATTACCATCGCGGAATCAACATGGAAATCGTTCTCTTCCCAAGACTCAGGATGAGACTTCTTGCACCACAGCAGCGCAGGGCAGACAAGAAAGTTGCAAAACAGATGCAGCAACCAGCTGTCGTCTCATCTAGGTTCCAGAGCAGACAGACGAAGACGCTGCCCCCAGCAGGCCTTACGCAGAGAGCAGTATAGGCAGTTAATCTCCTGAGAGCCTATGCTGTTGGAAAGAATAGTCACAGAAGTTTGTTGAAGATGTTCTATTCTAAGCCATCCTATTGAGCAACTGCAGACAAAGAGGCTGAAAGCTATCTCTGCAATTGGTATGGGAAGTCCTGATAAAACAGAGCAAGAATCCCACAGCAGATGGTATGGGATACAAACAGTGCGGGATACACAGGAGACGGACAATGGGGAAACCAGGGCAGAGGAAGAGGGACTTACTCACACCTGGCTAAATTAATCGTATGCTGTCTAGTGAGGAGGGATGGGGAGCTAATACCAAACTAAGTACCACATTTGTAGAAATTATATGTTTATACATACCATACACATCCTAAATGTGCAGTAAGCTGTACATTGTCTCCTGCAGTGTGGATTCAATCCTTTATAGTTAATACTTCCATCTCAAAAAAAATGTAAGAACATTGAACATTTTTTAGTGTTAAAAAGACTTATTAAAGTCCCTAAGACCCATTAGACCCAAATGGCAATTATAATCAAGCATTAGGAGCCTGGAGAGGGACTATCGGATATACAGCCCCTTAAAATCTTTAAATCTTGGCTGTTAAGTGGTGGATGTACTTCCCATTCCAGTGCTGTCCAAGAAAAATATGATGTGAGTCACATATTTGTATTAACAAGGTAAAAAAGCAAAACAACACAACAACACAAAGAAACTGGTAAAATTTACTTATTTATTTATTTTTAGAAACTGGTAAAATTTAAAAGATAAAGGAAATAGGTAAAATTAATTTTAGTATGTTTTATTTAACTCAAAGTATCCCAATAATACTTCGACATGTAATCAATTGTAAAAATAATTGAGATATTTTATAATTTTTTTTAATATTTAGTCTGAAATCCAGTGAATATTTTATACTGACATACGTTAGACTAGGTCTAATACTGCAAGGTCCCAAGAGCCACAGTGGCTAGTGGCTGCAAATCAGACCTCCCAGGTATATCACATGAGCTCACGTACACGCACACACAAGCACACACACACACACACACACACAAACACACACACACACACTTTGCATCGAGCACGTAGGAGACAAAACACTATGACCAAAGTGTGTTTGTCAGCACTGATGTTGTTGGTTTTGTTGTTTATTCTGAGCAAATGAATTATAGCTCCAAATACGGAAAAGCTAAATTTCTGATGTTTTCCTGGCAACATTTTGCACTAGCGTGATCCACAGATTTTATTTAAAGCTCCATAAATTCCCATGTGCCATAAAAGCTGAACTAAAAAGGGAAGCAATTTCTCAAAAGTTTTTGAGGGGCTAACTTGAGTGCCTGCATAATGAGTGGCCCACGTCCCACTGATAGAAGTAAATACAAAAAGCAATTTAAGCAGATCCTAATGCTTATTGTGTTCCCTTCGGGAGCACACACGCTAGAGTTGGAAGGATACAGAGAAGATCAGCATGGTCCCTCGCACAGATCATCATGCTTATCAAATCAAAAAAGGTTCTATTACACCTCTGTTCTCAGATACCAAGAGAAGCATCCGTCTAGAATAAACCTGACCTGCAAGTGTATTAAAACTAAGAGGGGTTCTTCATGGGGGCAAGGAGGTCATCTATTGGCAGGACAGCAGAGAAAAGCTCACTGTGAATGATCTGTGGACCCAAATGGGACAATTGGCTGCTACAAGAAAAGTATACACTAAATATACACCTAAGTACACCTCCCAGAGGCATGGTCAGCAAAACAGTGCTCAGAAGAGAATGGATGAGTGAGGAAGGGAGGACAGGGTGGATGGAAAAGGAAGTGAAACTCCAAGCCCAAAGAAAGATGGCACCTGCGCTTGGCCTCCCATGGTTCCAGGAGTCTCCAAAGCCTGCAGAGCTCCTGAGCTCTAGCCACTCCCAACCATTCCACAATGAGCCCAGTGAGGAAAGACACCTCCGCCCCCAACACAGTCACCTGGAATAGCTTTAGTCCAAAATACCTTTGTTTGAAATTCTTACCCTGTGGGTACTTTAGGAAAAACCGGGTCTTTTTTCTTCTCCATCTTATTCACAGAGAGTATCTTTAATGCTGTAAATGCAATGAGCCTTTTAAAAGGAGACAGAGGGGGGAAAATAAATATAAAATAAAATAAAAGGAGACAGAGGGAAAACTGTGAATGATCCAAAAATGAGAAACATGATACCAATCCGGTAATAAGATTTCTTTTAAAACGAGGAAACAGAATCCTCATTTTTAAGGTTCATTAACTCCCTTTAGCAGTGTTTTCATGGTCCAGATATAAGAATATATTATGTATGAGATGGACCTCCTGCTCCTGCTCTAAAAATGTCAACTTCTTTATTTTTGTCTCCAGCCCACAAGAAAAGTTAAGGTATGGGATTATTTAGGAGGAGGCTGTCGGGGACTGTAGAGATGTCTACAGAATATAGAACAGCTTCCAAAGATTCACATTCCCAAAAATATTGGTTTCACTTTCTACAATAATTAAAAGAAAAATGGAAAAGAAGTATAAAAGGTCTCAAAAGAGCAGACACTGGAGGCTTCATGTGAATTCCCGAAATTCAATTACCACAACGGAAACTCAGCACAAGGCATATTGTTATAGGGCGCAAGGAAGGTCAATAGGCTGCTTTGCAGGATCTCAGTGGCTGCTTTATCACAGATACAATGTACATGGGAGCTTGGGGCCCCACGTGTCTGCAGCTGCAGTAAGCTAATTTTCCAGGATAGCATTAAATAATTGCCAACAATGATTAAATTTAATGTCCCCATGATATAAGTTATGCCTCTTAGGAAGGAGTCTGAGCCTAATATTTAAGACCAAAGACATGACTAAACACTGAAAAGTAAATAAATAAATCATGCCTCACAAGAAAGAGCAAAATTATTCAGCTGAAGCTATTATATTACAGACAAAATTAATGGCTCAAATGCTTCAAAAAATTAGATTACACAGAATTTCTAAGTATTTTTTATCAATTTTTTTTCCTCCATGTGACTTACCCAACATTCAGAGATCTGCACATTTCTGTTGCACATCAGTGAGTATTGACTGCTGATGACAGTGATGCTGTGTCCTCAGAAATAATGACAGGAGAGGTGGGCTCACATGCCTAAGGCCAGGACTAGATTCTGGGGGATAGTAGCGCAGCGGCCAGCCCCTGGGGGGCTCCCTTCAGCTGTGGTGGAGAATCTGGTTGCAGCCAGGCCCCTAGTTAGCTGTGTGATTGGGATGAGGATTTTGTTTGTTCTTATTGTTTGGTCATTGAGGTTGCTAAGCCTCAGTTTCTTTGTTTGTAATCTGTGGACAGTCCTGTGCCAGTCCCACAAAGTTATTGGGGGCAGATCTCCCTTGTGGGAACTGTGTGGCAGAGCATAACGCCTACTTTTCACCTACTGGGTCACTAGGAGATCCCCTCTAAAATAAAAAGGTAAAAGGCCTTTTTATAATATTTAATAAAATAGTTTTAATATTTTATTTATAAAATATTTATATTTATAAAATAAAATATATTTAATAAAAAGGCCCTTTTGGCCCCTCTGGTCCCTCAGAAGGTCATGGAGAGACTGGGCATTAACTCATCCCCACTTCTTGGCCCTAAGTTCTTCAGGACGGCCAATCTCCAGCACAGCAGTGGGGAGCCATGTCCTTGGCCAAGCACAGGTGGGGGCAATGAGGCAGGGCCATGTTGGAGCAGAGGGTGCTGCCCCAAGGTGGCAGGGCCAGGCAGAGCCATAGGAGGGGCATGAGAAGGCTCTGGGCAGAGAGAGGGAACATGCAGCCGGGGGGGGGGGAGCCAAAGGGTAGAGGGGGCACTGGGCCATCAGGGAGGCTTCCTCCTCCCCAGGCGCTGCCTTCCTCCTGTCTCCCTCCTACCTGCCACCTGTTGGCCTCACTCCTGCGCCCAAACCCAGCCATCACTCTGTCCCCATAGCAGCCCAGACAGAGCTCCGGAGCCCCAGCCCTGGAGAGACAACCACTTGCTCAGGGACACAGGGATGAAGGGAATGCTGCTTGTCTCTCTCTCATCTAAGTGCATTGTCTTGTTTTGGAAAAGAAATAGCTACACATGTTCATAAAATGTTCACCCAATTCAAAAACCAAGAAAAATGGCAAAAAGAAAAAAAAATCACCCATGATTTCACTGCCAAAACCAAATACTGTTTTGGATTCTCCTTCACATAAATGAATACACACATTTACCAACTGAGGACTGCAAGATGTTGGGATCCCTAATTTCCTATAACCTGCTCATCCTGCCAATGAGGATGAGAGTGAAGGTGTCCCAGGAGGAGGAAACTCAGAAATTCCCATGTGAGAGAATAAACTCACTCAGGTGGACAGCACTGTCTTTCAGGTCACCTCAGTCTCTTTGGAATTAATGGTGTGTTCTGAGTTTCTGGGTGTCTTCTTCCTCCTTCATTTCCAGGCCAAGAGAGTAGAAAGCTAAAAGTCACCAGAGACACCCCCCCATGCTGGGGCCTATGGCTAGCCTCTGGCAGGAGGGGAGGGCCCAGACCAGACCACCCCAGGGCTCCAGGGCTCCGTTGTCCTTCACACTGCTGGGCTTCTACCAGCCCCCATGCCCTGAACTTCCTCTCCATGGGACCGTGCTCCTACCCTGTCCTGAAGAGGGAGCACCCCACTTACTCCAGACCTCAGTCTTCGCATGTTCACCTGGCACCGTCTCTTACAGAATGGGCTCCATGGGGACTTGCGGCAAGATTTTCTATTCAGCCCCCAAACTCGGATTCTGGCTCTCCCTCCCCTGGGGTCACCTTCCTGGCTTAGCCCCAACAGGAAAAGGTTATAGAAAAACAATGAAACATAAGTTGATTTCATGCTTCCAAAAATATCATTCCTATTGGGAATAAAACCCACTGTTTGGTAACCTTTCTTTATTTTAACAATATACTTTGAACATCACCAAGAGACAGCTCTCTACCTACCTCCTGTCTGACTATGCCTTTTATTCCTTCTTCATACCTTATACTTTCCAGATATTTAACAGGGCACTCCTTGCCCCACAGGGCTTCTCAGGACCCCTGCACCTAGAACAAGATGACAGTTTCGCAGAGGTTCAAGGGGGCTCCTCCAGCTACCCTGCGCTCACACCTTCAAGCATATTGGCTAGTCACAGAGCAGGGACATTTTTGGAATAAAAATTTGAGCTAGAACTATCCTCACAGTTCACTCATGGCTTACTGGTTTACTATATCTAATACAGTAAATACTTTTTGTATGAAAACTATAGTAGTGCCAATTATTTGTTCAAAAGAAAGCACCCTTTTAGATGACCGAAATAATTTTGGGGGTGCTTTTCATTAACACATGAACTGCTTGCTTTGCAGATGTAGACTATGTCTTAATTACAGTAAAAATTTCCAAATATGAGTTGAACGGACATGGAGTGTAACAGGCTTCTTTTCTCCAGCCCTGCCTTCTCTGCCCACCTGCCCCCTCAATCCCCAAGGGCCCCAGGTAGTTAAAAGCAGAGCTTAGAATGGAAAAGGACTATATAAGAAACCCCCACATATTTATATTCTTCCACTTTATAGCTTTGTGGCGTTGTGAAATTTTATTTTAACAGAATGAGTCAAATAAAGGCAATTCCATAATACTGTTTTTTTTAAACAATGTTTTTTTTTTAATTTTTATTTATTTATGATAGTCACAGAGAGAGAGAGGGGCAGAGACACAGGCAGAGGGAGAAGCAGTCTCCATGCACCGGAAGCCCGATGTGGGATTCGATCCCGGGTCTCCAGGATCGCGCCCTGGGCCAAAGGCAGGCGCCAAACCGCTGCGCCACCCAGGGATCCCCATAATACTGTTTTTAATTGAAATTGGTGATTTATCTTACTAATCTTATTGTTATGAATTCTATTCTAATTAAACAACGAGAGATAACACCATGTGTTTTCTCTCCTTAATAATTTATCTAGGAATAAATAATTTTATTTTTTAATACCATGTATTGAATGATATAAAGATCTTTAAAGCACAACTCAAGTTTTAATTCCTAGAGCTAACAACCACTTTTGATTTTTCCTTCTTGATTATTCCTCTCACTTATTAGGTGACAAGCTGTGTGAGGATTCTACCCCAAAAATGCCTCCACACCATCTTCACTTTGGCCTTGGCTCTCTTTGTGGTGGCCCCTCCCTGGCTGGGCTACACCACCATCAACACTGTGACTGTGATGGCTTCCTTGGCTCCAGGTTCAGCTCCAGGCTGGCACCATCTTCTCAAAGGCCTCTCCAGAACATTCCTGGGGTAAGCCCAGGTAAGTATTCACTATAGGATGACATCCAACTTCTTTAGCATGGTGTTTTGGTCTCTTGATAGTCTTCTGACTGTATCAAGAATTCATCATTTTCATCTTCCAATGTCTGTCTTCCAATGCCAGGCTTCAGGTGACATTTAAATAGCTGTGCTTGGGATGCTTTTAAAATGCATTTATTCATGTCATGAAATCATCATCTCTCCAGACATGCTCTA